TGCACGGCCGAGACACAGTCGCACCATTGCTCAGGGTTGGCACCTTTGGCCGACAGCCCGCATTGCACCGCGTGGCCGTTGCAATGAAATTCTCCCCGGCAACCGCGCCAGCACGTGGTTCCGACCAAGCCAAGACCTGGACGCCCATACCAGGCGCTAGCACTAAGCGCAGCGGCTTCTTCCAGTTCAATGACACTGTGTACGAGCTCGACCTGCTGCGCCGCTTCGATGCACAGACCACGTTTTCGCACACTGCAGCCATGACGTTCCAAACTGAATACCCTCCTATAACTTGACGCGGCGCCCGACCCACGCCGTGTCGCGGATGGACTGTGGCGCGCTTCACAGCCGTACCTGCGGTCCCTGGCGTTGCCATGCGATGCCCTACGCTCCAAACCAACTCGTCCTACCGCTCTGACCCGCACCTGCGCCTCCACCATGGTGCCGAGCGGGTGTGGCACAGCGGGGCCACAGGCGGGCGGAGCGGCCGGTAAACCCTGCTTCCAGCACGCTCGAAGAGGCGCGCGCGGCCCCCACACCCACGGATGGACCCTCGCGACTTGTCTCGCGCGTAAGATCGTACCCGCCCGCATGATACTGCTGGCTTACTGCCAGCCAGAAGCGTCACAATGGCGCCGCATTTGCACGTCAGGCAGCCAAGACGCCGCTCGTACCTGGATGTTCAGAGCTGCGTCACTCATGTCTGTCGAGTACGCGACGGCAACACGCGAACGGGCATGCTCCGGGGCAGATGAATCGCGTGCGAGGGTGCATGCCACCACCCGCCACACCTACCTCTTGCGCCCGTTGCCCCCCAAACCCTTTGCAGCAGCAAAGGCGAGATGCAGCGCGCAGCCCGTAATCTCATCCTGGACGCCTTGCTACAGGTGCACTGACGGGCTGCGCGTGAGGCTGCGACAGAGGTCACCCTCACGCTCGACTTTGAGCCGAGCCCACCAGCCCGTCCTGGTGCCGCAGCGATCTTGCTGCGGCCGGAGGCACCGACGCCCTCGCTGCCGCCAAGGTCGCTCGCGCCGAGGAGCTGCGCGCGGCGCGCGCCGCTAAGCGGTCGGAAGAGACGGCAGAGTGGCGCGCATTCCACGAGGCTAAGGCGGAGCAGGAGGCGGAGCGGCTCGCGCGCGAGCGGGCACTGCAGGCCGACCCTCGCCGTGCGAAGGTCTCGGCGCGCACGCGATCTGGCCGGGCCGCGACGAGCAGCGAGCCTGCCCTCGTGGCGCCGCCCGAGGCTATGCCTCTTCCCGCCGAGCCCCCGCACGCTGGCGAATTCGCGGCGGACCCGGAGCGCAAGGATGGTGGCGACTTTGATTCGACCGAGGGGTCCGCCCTCGCAGCCGCCGTCCTCGAGGTGCCGTGCAGCAACCTCAAGGAGAACCAGTACGCCGACATGAAGAAGCGGACCACGGCGGGCGTGCTCGCCACCGTCTCCTCGTGCGGCCTCTTCCTCTGTGTCGACGAGCTCGCAGTCGCCGAGAGCCTGAAGCAGGTGCACCAGTCAATGCATTCGATGCTGTCCACGCCCGGAATCGAGCTGCCCAAGGTGCTCGCCTACGACGACGCGTGCCACCTCCACGCGTTCTGGCATAGGCGCCGTGAAAGCAGCCCGTGGGTGAATTGGCTCCTGGGCCAGGTCGAGCTTGTGGTCGACCGCTTTCACTTCCGCAACCACAACGCGAAGTACTGCCGCAAATTTGTCGATCCCCACAAGTGCGAGGCGCTGAGGTTCGACGACAACACCGAGGCGGCCGAGAGCTCCTTTGCGTGGCTCGCCCGCAGCAAGCACATCTTCCGCACGATGAACGAGTCGCGCTTCCTGTTCACGATCCTGCGTTTGATGCACATGCGCAACCGATACACAGCCAAGCTGCTGTTCCATCCCGCAGAGTAGCCGCTAGGCACGGGCACCATCCTGCACAGTAGCCGCTGGGCGGCGACAGACTCGAGCACCGGAACCGGAGCATGGCGACCTCGCTGCGCTCGGCAGTGAGGAATGTTGGTCCCGCTCGCGGCCGCGACAGGCACTGCGATAGAGCCGTAGCCCCCGAGTCTACCCGGCCATATATGGTGCCTACATATTTGGGTCTGTGCGCAGGGGGGGTGCTCTGTGTGATCGGTGCAGTCCCTCCAAAGGGAACTGCCTCGTGTGTGTTTCGTGCGCGCGTGTGCTTGTGCTTGGATGAGGTTGCCGTTTGGCGTGTGTAAAATGTATGCTCTTGTTGATATAACACGGAAATCTATTAGCGGTGTCGGTGCAATCTCATACCGCACAGGACGCTGAGTTGCGGCTGCTGAATCCAGAAAGCGCGGCTCCTTCATCGCCCGGACAAAGGTTGCTGCGTGCGAGCCAGGGCTCGAGAGAGATATAAACCTCGACTGGTTCTAGCCGTCAGCCAGGTCAAAAATATCACCCCCCTATCATCGTGCGGAAGATGTGCTTGCTGCGGGCGAGCCAGGAAAAGGCGCTCTCAGCCGCCTCGGTGTTGTCGTCGTACCTCAGCGCCTCGCACTTGTGAGGATCGACAAATTTGCGGCAGTAGTTCGCGTTGTGGTTGCGGTAGTGGAAGCGGTCGACCACAAGCTCGACCTGGTCCAGCCAATTCACGCAGTTCTGCCACAAGGTTATGCGAGCGTCTGTCCATTCGCCGCGCGCGTTGGCACGTAGGCGATCGATCGCTTCATCGTTTGCGCAGTCCATCCGTCGCTCGAGCATGTATCGCCACTCGTGTTGAATGAGCCATGCGGACCACTCTTCGCGGCTCAGAAAAGAGTTGTTTCTGCGATTTGGTCAGTCGCGCTGCAGCTCGCGGCGGCGGAAGAGATTGCGACCGAGCTCAGGCTCGCCGCGGCGTCGGAGGACGCCGCCGTCGCCTAGACCCCCCTGCGTCACTACGTGCCTCCCCGTCTTTGTAGCCTGGCGTTTGTGCCCCGTTTGTGCCGCGTCCCGTGCCCCCGAGTTCATTTAATATATTCTGCGATTTGTCCTAGCTAAGGCAGCCAGGTCGACAAAACGTAGCAGCTCGAGGATGCAGATAATGCAGTCGCGGTTCAGGTTGACCCGAACATCTTGCTCTAGCCGGAGAACGTCTTGCTCCAATCGGAAGGCCGCGCGGTTTGCCGTTACGTGCCTCGCTTCCACGGCAACACACATGGGCGCCCGTCGGTCGCCAAATTTGGACGTTGCGCAAAAACAAATCATGCACGAGACTGCACTCCAAGTGCTCCAAGTGCACCGCAGACTTGAATGCAATCTCAGCTTCAACCACAGCGAACTTAGGGTTGCGGTACAGTGCGCGCACATAAAGGGGGGGGGTGGGGGGGTTAGGGGGTGGCTGTCGAGGGCTATGCCCGAGTCTGTTGTTACCAGCGCACATACAACCCTAGCCAACTTATGGCAGCCCGAGCGGCAGCGCCAGTGCGCGCACATAAAGGGGGGTGGGTGGGGGGTTAGGGGGTGGCTGTCGAGGGCTATGCCCGAGTCTGTTGTTACCGGCGCACATACAACCCTAGCCAACTTATGGCAGCCCGAGCGGCAGCGCCAGTGCGCGCACATAAAGGGGGGTGGGTGGGGGGTTAGGGGGTGGCTGTCGAGGGCTATGCCCGAGTCTGTTGTTACCAGCGCACATACAACCCTAGCCAGCTTATGGCAGCCCGAGCGGCAGCGCCAACTTGTGGCAGCCCTAGCGGCAGCGCGAAGTTAGGGTTAGGGGTTAGGGGTTAGGGGTAGGGGTAGGGGTAGGGGTGAGGGGTGAGGGGTTAGGTTTTAGGGTCAGGGGTTAGGGGGTTAGGTAGGGGGTTAGGGGGTTAGGGGTTAGGGGTTAGAGGGGTTAGGGGTTAGGGGTTAGGGGTTAGGGGTAAGGGGTTAGGGGTTAGGGGTTAGGGGTTAGGGGTTAGGGGTTAGGGGTTAGGGGTTAGGGGTTAGGGGTTAGGGGTTAGGGGTTAGGGGTTAGGGGTTAGGGGTTAGGGGTTAGGGGTTAGGGGTTAGCGGGTAGCGGGTAGCGGGTAGGGGTTAGGTGGGCGGATGCGTCAGACGTATGCGTAATACGTGAGGCGTAACCCTTGTTGGCCGCCACTACTCAGTCAAAATCCGTCGTGCGTGAGCGTAATACGTGGGACGTAAGCTCCCCCCGGACACCCATGGCGAGCGATGCGTCAGACGTATATGCGTAATACATGAGGCGTCACCCCCTCTCCGCCGCCGTTCACGGTCGAGAGCGTAGAGCATGTGCGTAATGCGTCGGTCATAGGCTCACCCAGCCCCGATTTACGATCCCACTGCGTAAGACCTGTGCGTAATACACCGTGCGTAGCGGCCCGAGAGAGCCTCTCTGGCAAAGCTTACATAAAACAGATGCGTGGTGCGTGGTGCGTAGCGGCCAGAAGGTCGGTGGTAACGATCGGGACAGAAGACGTGCGCATAATACGCAGCACATTTGAAATCACCGATCGTGCTTTCTGTCTGCACGCGTAAAGCGAGGCGTATGCGTGACGCATCACTGAGCCTCCACCCGGCTTGACACGGCACCAAAATACACGACGTCTCAGCGACGTCCTACGAATCGTGGGCATGGATGTGCATAAGGTGGCCGACAATTGCATTAGTGGCTCTTACATATCCATAGCGGGACTAATAACCTCCCTCCGCGGTTGGGGTGTGTCCCAGCGCGCCGCCTCCAAGCGTTATAACGTTAAGAAAGTGTATACACCTTACGCGAGACAGCCCACGCCCACGCGCCCCACAGCCACACCTCAGCCGCGGCGCCTACGAAAGCATTTGTTTTGTGATGAAAACTTCCTCCAGTAAGGTAAGTTAAGGTAACGTAGATTTCTCCACACACACAAAGTGGTGGGGCAAGGGGGGGCGACCCTCGCACAACACGCACACACATATATAGGCGCTTTGGGGCTCACACCGACTTGGCGGCGGCGTCACTTAGAGCCGTAGGTGAGTGATGGGTCTTGCGCGCGGCGGAGAGAAACACGGTGCGTTCTGATCGCCACAGGAAAGAACACCTAACCAAACGCTACACTCTCAAGCACTCAAGAGAGCTCTCCGCCCCCGCGCCCACTCCGACTTGTGCGACACTCTGAGACCACACTGGACTGACCACGCTCGCGACTCCCACCCGTCTGACACACGCGCCTGCGCGGTCCTGCAGAGAGCGCGCGCGGCAGTACTATGCCCCTACCTCACACCGCCCGCGCCTCGCCCTCCTTTGCCTCCCGCAGAAAGCAGCACTCAAAGTGGCGCGCGGGCGTGAGCGGGCACAACGTGCCGTTCCAGCGCGGGACGTAGCCGCGCCACGAGCCGGCCGGCCGCTCCGGCAGAGGCGGGGGGGCGTCGCACGCCACTCGCGCCCTCGTCCAGCCCCACGAGGCGCACGTCTGCGAGCAGTCCGCCACGACGCGCGGCAGCGGCGCCGCGACGTCCCACGCCGCACGCACCCTTGCCCACAGCGCCTCGTCGACGACCTTGTGCACCACGATCGCCTTGGCCGACATCGGCGGCGAGAAGGCGGCCTCGTTGAACCACGGCCAGAACCACCCCTTCTCCGGCAGGTGCACGACGTACACCTTCCGCCCGCCGACCCCGCCGCCGGCGCCGCCCCCCGCGCCCTGCGCCGCGCCGGCGGGCGGCGCCGAGGGGGAGCCGTCCCCGGTCGACGCGGCGATGCCGCGCGCCAGCGAGCGCCACACGTTGTACGACACGCCGGCGTCCTCGTGGTGCCACATGTGCGTCGCGGGCGGGTGCGCGGCGCACGCCGCCGCAGTCTGGCACGGCGCGCCGTAGTCGTTCCTCGCGCGCGCGACGGCGAGCCACTCCCCGAACCGCTCGTCGCGCGCAGTCAGCAGGGCGAGTGCGCGCGACATGCACGTCAGCGTGCCCGTCCCCTGCGGGAACGGCCCCTCGGCGCGCGCGCAGTGGTTGGCCGGGTCCTCCATCTGGCGGATCGCGTCCAGCGGCCCCCCCCACCCGCCGCCGCACGCCTGGGCCAAGGCACAGCCGAGGCTCGGCCGAGATGTGAGAGAGGCGGCCGAGAGGCGGCCCTCCCGACCCGCCGCCGCACGCCTGAAAGTCGTAGTGCGGCAGCCAGCCTGTTCGCAGCCTTGGTATTGAGAAGGAGATGCCTCCTCTGGCGCTGTGCGCTGGTCTGTGAGAGGACGAGGTGCGAGCCTCGCCAGCGGATGTACGACAGCATCACCAGCGGCTCGTCGCCTAAGAAGGGCGAGGTGAGCCGAGATGAGCCGAGATGCGCCGAGATGAGCCGAGGTGAGCCGAGGCCACCCGCGGCTCGCCGCCTCCGGCCGCCGCCGCCGCCGCCCGCAGCGACGCCGCGAGGTGCGCGTTATGGATCAGCGAGTCGTCGTCTGTCTTGCAGAGGAATCGTGCACATCTTCTCGGCCGCATCTCGGCTGCATCTCAGCTGCATCTCGGTGGTATCTCACATCTCGGCTGTATCTCGTAGCTCGGCTGTCTCGCCTGTCTTGCAAAAGAACTCGGCGGAGGAGCGGCGCGGCGCGGAGAGCCACCAGGCCGCCGACTTCTCGCTCGCCTGCGGAGAAGGTTCCGAGAAGCTTCCTGTGCAAGGGTCCCGGAAGCGCCAACCGCCGGGCTCCTCGCTCGCCTTGCCCACGTTTGGGATCGCCTCCCGCGCGGCGACGAAGCGCAAGTCGCCAAACTGGTCCGCCTATGAGCTCACAGAGTTGTCGCTCCTCGGCCGAGGCATGACTAGCTCCTTCTCGGTCGCCAGGCTCGTCCACCTCCGCAGCGAGCTTCTGCGAGAGCCGGGCCGGAGGCGTCTTGTGGTGCTCGCTGCCAACAACAAACTCGACGCCCACCTGCGGCCCGCGGCCTGGCACGCGCCCGTCGCCGCGCCGACCGCCGGTCTGCGCGTTGAACCGCCGCAGCAGCGCCCGCTGCTTGAAGTTCGGAGGGTTGGAGATGACGCCGAGCAGCACGTAGGGCGCGTCGGCAGATGCGGCGGCCTGCGCCGTGACGTCGCGGTGGCCGCGGCTGGCGCCGAGCCCCTCGAGGCGGCCCTCGATGCTCGCGATGCCCTCTTCGATGCCGTCCTCACTGCCTTCACTGCCGCCGCCGCCGCCAGCGCCAACTGCGCAGCTCGCCTCACCTCCGCCGACCCAGCCGCCGCCGTGCGTGGCGGTGAGGTGACCGCCCAGGTAGCCGAGGCAGAGACACAAGATCGTCTTGAGCACGCGCCGCTCAGAGTCGAGGAGACTCATCCGCCAGAGGCGGCCGAAGCGCACAGGAGGCCAAAAGAATTTGTACGCGCGAGGGGGGCCGGGACGCCAGCAGACACGGCTAGATACGCTAATCATGCAAAAGAATGACCACTAGGGTCGAAAGCACAGCCAGAGCTCGTTATAACCTAGATCGTCAGGGACCCGCACTCCTTGACCGCCAGAGTCGCAATGGTCGTACGTCGGATCGAAGCACGATGCCGCGCAACCTTGCGCCCAGAGTGCTGAATTGCTTGGGCGACTAGCCCACTCAGTCTCTGAGCAGTAGTACCATCCCAGCAAGTCGTTGATCGACGAGCAGCCGCCCGAGCATGGCGACGCCCAAGCATAGTAAGTGCCGTCGACGAGAATGGATGGAACGTCACCACCAAGGTCTTGCGGCAGCGCGACGCTACTGCCGTCTTCGCACATACGGGCATCCAATGGCGGCGACGAGTGCGACGGCGGCGGCGGCGGAGGCGAGGGCGATGGCGGCGGCGGCGGCGGGGGCTGATGCCACCACGGTGGCGGCGGTGATGGCGAGGGCGGCGGTGGCGGCGGTGATGGCGAGGGCGGCGGTGGCGGAGGTGATGGCGAGGGTGGAGGCGGAGGCGACGGTGTCCTGAGCACAACCAGCTCCCCGGCGAGAGCGCCGACTGCAATCGTCATCCCTGTCACCAGCAAGCAGAGCCCGAGGATAATCAGCCGATAGCATCGGCCAAAGAGCTGCTGCTTAATCTGGCCCTGGACGCCTCCTGCCACGTTGCCTGCCTCGACATCGGGCATCGCGTCACCGGCGTTCCCGCCACAACAATCACCGGCCGGCCAACCGACCATGCTTCGGAGGCGGCAGGCGCTGCGCTGCTGGCCCGCCGCGGCGGCGGGCGCGGCGGGGTGTACTCACCCGCAAAGGTAGCCGCATCGTCTGCGGCCGTCTCGCCACTCCGCTCAGAGGCCGCCGCCGCCGCTCTGGCACGAGCCATTGCTCCGGCATTGGACAGGGCCAACGTTGCCACGCGTGCTGCGGTTGGCTCCACTGCCGGCTCTGCGCTGGTCTGATCTGCATACGCGCGATTGAACAACTCTGCAAGGAAATCGGCTGGGGGTGCTGGATCCCCGAGCATCTCTCTCGGAAAGCTGTCGATGAACCACTCCGCGGATTCGTCTGGCATGCCCTGGCGGGCGAGCTCCGCCAGGACTGCGTCGAGAAGGGTGAACTCGGCGGCGCTGCTGCGGGACGACTCGCCCTCGACCAGCGGCGAGGTCGAGCGGATGGACGACCGGCGGTTGTGCATGGCTGTGGTCGCGGGCGGTGGGGGGACGTAAGTTTAGACTTGCGATGAGGGCAAGGAACTGTGATCTGTGATCTGTAAGGGTCCGCCCGCAGGCGCATTTTGTATACCGAGGCGGTGCCCGGTGCCGAACCTGTCGGACCTTAAGACAGCATTGTAGATCCCTGGGCGAGGGTGGTGGCGTCCCCGTCGGGAGGGGCTGTCTGGCGGAGGAGAGCAACCAGGTGCCCGGCGGCGTCCCGCCACATCCGGATGACCTCTCCTCGTTGTGCCAGTCAGCCCCGTTGGAGGTAGACCGCTCGTCTAGCCAATCAGCCTTAAGCGAGCGGTCTGGCCGTTGGAATGGCCGAGTTTGGTGGACTTGCGTCCTCGCATCGATCGTGGTTACAAGTAAGTAGCCTTATGACTTATGAACGGAACACCCACCCTGAACCACGTTCATCGGGAGGGGGGAGGTCTATGACCTACCTAATTGTCCGGCATGCGAGGGCATGCTCGGCCGTTCGGAGTCCCCCCTTTCTTGTCACCATTCTCTCGGTTAGCGTCTGAACTTGACGGGTGGCTTCCGGTGCGATCCCTGCCTCCGCTGGCGTTGGCGCTGTCTCTGTGTCTTCGTCATCGGCTCCTCGCCCTCGTGATGCTGCTGGCTCGCCCCCCCTCCCTGACTCATCGAATCGCTACGTTCATTCTCAAAGCGCCCTCGCTTCCTCGGCGGCTGGGGCGCCTCGTCCTCTGGTTGTTCCTCTTCTACGTCCATCACTGTGAATTCGTCGTCTGTCTGGCTGCCTTCGTTTGGATGGCCCGTTTCGGGTGGTTGCTCGCTCGGCCCTGGCTCTGTTGTGCGGTCGGGCATCTCTTCGTCCTCGCTCCTCTCTCCATCTTCGTCGCCGTCGTTGGCGTCTTCCGGGTGTCTGTGTCCGTCCCCGCCGCTGCCTCCTTGTAGGAGTTCGAAACGGAGTCGGTCCATGAATCGTTCCGCGGCTTGTCGATTTTTCCGCGACCTTCGGTGCGCTGTCCGTCGGCTGCCCTGGCTGCTCTGGCTCCCCTCGCTCTCGCCCCCCTGGCTCTGTTGGCTGTACTGACTCTGGCTTCCCCCGCCCTCCGCCTCTCCCTCCGTTGCCGCGTCGGGAAGCTCGAAGAACTCATCGTCGATAAAGGCCATCTCGTCGTCCGCCGCGGCGCTCTTATCTCTCTCGTCGTCTCCCTCGTCGTCGTACGTCTCGCTCGCTGGCGGCTCGCTCTCCATCGGGTTCGTCGTCCCGCCTTCGGGCGTTGGGCCGTGGACTGCCTTGTCGTGCTCTGCCGTGTTCCACGGCTCGACCCCAGCTCCCTGCGCTTCGCGCACCGCGTCGAGGGTCCGCTGTGACACTTGCCTCTCGTGCCCGTGCCGAAACCGCAGTAGACTGAGGTGCCCGATCTGGTATGCCGTTGTGCCTTTGAGGGCTCGCGGGCCTCTCGGCACCCCTTTGTCTGCCCTCGGCTTGCGTGGCTTTGGGGCGTCTCCACGTTGCTGCCCCTCTCTGCGCCGCTCGTCTCGTACGCCGATGAGCTCTCGCGCCATGGCTGCGAGGCTGTCCCCGTGGCACAGCCTCCCCTCTCGACACGAGGGCGAGCATCCGAGCCGCACCACCTTGGCGTTGCCGCGGCCGTTCAGCGCGGCCCGCATCGCCACGACGGCGTCGTTCCCCGTCCTAGCTTCGTCGGAGCGTCGAGGGGCGATCTCCTGTGAGAAGGGCTGCCCGTTGGCCTGTCGGATGAGCGCTGGCGTGGATCTAGTGTCCCACACGGCCGAGGCGGGAACGGTGCGCAGCCGGAGCCACGTGTCGAATGCCTCGCATACCTGGTCGCGCAGCGCCTCGTCGGTGCCTCTCTTCCCCATGGGGAATGGGTTGCCGAGCCCGGTGCCTCTCATGATGTTGACTGGCAAGGGGCGCGGGACTGTGTCCGCTCCCGTGTCGCGCGTCTCCGCTCGTCGGCTTCCGGCGACGACCACCCTGATCGAAGGCTCGGCATCCCCCTGTCCGCCGCTGTGTGCCCCCCCGCTCGTGTCGCGCCTCGGGCCGGCGGTCCTCGGGGGGGGGCTTGGCTGCTCCGCCTGGCGTGTGTCGCTGCTGCTTCTAGCCCTCGACCCCCCCATGCGACGGTCCCACTCTTCTCCTGCCCCCTCGTCGTCGGTAGGCTCCTCCTCTGGCACCGGCTGTGAGCGGTCGTCGCCGTCGTCGTCGTCTACGTCGTCGTCATCGTCTCCGTCCTGTTCCCCAGCGGCGCCGCCCCTCCACTCGGGCGCGTTCGTCTTGCGCCATTCGATGGCCGTCCACGTAATCGTCTTTGCGGCCTTCCTGGCTGCGTTGGTCGCCTCTCGCACCGCCACCTGCATCGCGGTGAGGCGCTCGCCGTCGCGCCCCCCTCGCGTGGGGGGTGGTACATAGCCCGTTGCCGCCATTCTCGCCCTCGTGGCCGCTCGTTCGCGTTGTGTCGGGGCGGGGAGGGCTCCCGACGCCGCCGCCCTGAACCGCCGCCACTGTTCGACGCTGGGTAGGTCAGCCGGAACCAAACCCGACTATTTGT